ATATCAGGGAGCTGCAGAGACATTGTTGTTCAATCTTTATTTATTCACATGAACTCATTTATCGACAGGTGACAGAAGAGACTATATTCAATGATTCCATGGCGTATATAGATTATATATTCGAAATTATCAAGCCTCAGAAGGTGTTCTACATGGCCATTGACGGTATGGGGTGAGCGTATGGTACTCTGCATTCATCTGCTTACGCCCACTAAGGTTGAATAGAGATAGACACGTATCAAGTGTGTGTTGCCGTACGCGTGTGTATTGTTGTACGTGTGTATTTATCTGAAACCCTACATATCAAGTACATTGTGGCCCAAGGATTTGAAGGGATTCAGTGGCCTGGCCAGTTATGCACCAATGACTGAAACAACTTTTTTGCTATCGCCTTATAGACACATATGTGTCTGACAGTTTTTCCCGTCTGAGAGCATGCGGGTACAGTTAACGCCCATGACTAAAAGCTTTTCTCTCGATAGTACAGAGACTCCACTGCCTGGGACATTGATCGGAAATTCAACCAGTGTTATGTATACTATTGGAAGTACCTTGCTAGACGCGGCCATACATATATGTGTTGTTTACAAAGCACACATAGTACACCACTTCACACACATGCAAACGATAGATGTGGCGATTAACATACACGTATGGCGTGTGCAGTGTTGCTGTAACGCGCACACATCACAAATCGGATGCGTCTGAGTTTGTCATGCGAATATTGTACCAAGTATAGGTCAATAATGCTGCAGCTAGACCGTTTTTATGGTTACAACAGGTATCACGGAGTGTAGCAGTGTACTGTGCTTTCCTATCTGATACTTTTTATCTAAGGACCTTCAGTATTAGATGCACCTACCCCGCCATATACCTACAGATTCATGTTTGGCTAGGGTGGACACTCTGTATCCCAGGTCATTGCTCACTCAGCCTTGTCAGGCATTTTAACATGATACGATTGGCCACCTGTTAAAATCACACTTCATATTTTTAACTCAGGAGTGGCCCCGCGTGCCAAGATGAACCAACAACGCGCGCGCCGATTCAAAACCGCACTCGAGGTAAGCAGAGTTAAAACCATGTACACGCTCTGTACCAACAAAGTCACCTCTCGTTACATACACATTGATATCCAACGGATGATGCAAGTAGCCATATTCGGGTCTTGTGGCCGACATTTGGAATGAGGCGTGGCTGTTTGTTAACTGTTTGTTGACTCCCAATTCGGAGTTTACTTGCGCACAATTTAGAGTCTTTCTTGAACTTCAAGAGTCCGTTTCTGTCAATTTGGAGTGCGTTTTTGCCCAATCGAAGCCCATTCGCTCAATGTTTCTTATGACTATGCAGGCGGAAGAGCTCAGAGCCAAAGCTACAGCAGAAGGAGTGCAACTCACAGGCGAGCGATTTGACTCTAACTGCATCACGCCAGGTAAGTTGCATGTACTGTATCTCTATTTATCTTCACG